ATGAATAACTCTACATTTACTAGAAAATGCCTTATTATGAGTATATATTTATACTGAAATAAAACTAAAATAGAGCCGTTGGACTGTAGCAATTTAGTGTGTGTGTGGGGGGGGGGGGATGGGGTGTGTGTGGGGGGAAGGGGTTGTTCATTCTCTTGATTGCACGAAACATGGAAGCTAAACTAAACCCTGAGAGAGAAATTCAGTAAACCAAAGTCTGGGGGATAATTAGGCTTTGAAATCGTCACCATATCTGATTTTGCTAAAGGTGGCGAGGGACAGGCACAGATGGGAGAAACACACAAAATACTCCACACATTCACTTTTTATGTGTGTGAAATTATTTTTATATTTGTACAGCTATAGAAGAAAAAAATAGTGCTTTGTTCAACTTTTGCAGCTGATTCCCAATATACTATACTCAATATGTAGTATAGATGTCTTTCCCCCAAGCTGTGCTCCAGTTTATTTATTTAGGCTCTTATCTGTGTTAACCAAGCATCATTCCTACTGCCTACTCTGTGATAGGGGAAGCTTTTGACATATGTGCTGGAACTAGGGGTGCTGGGGTTGCAGCCGCACCCGGCCCTGGCTTAAAGTGGTTTCATATATATACATATATATATGCATTTACCCATTCGTTCAATGGCTCTCAGCACCACCCCCACTATAAAAATTGTTCCAGCACCCCTAGCTTCTTGTGTCTCCTGACCTACTGGCCTGGTTTCACAGTTTATTCATTTAATTACTGTACTGCAAATCAAATGTTGATTCTCTGATTTTATTAGGGAAAGAATTCGTGAACACCTTATGTCAACATGTACCCTTTATATAGCATTCTACCACAACCAGGCAGTATTCACCAAGGGATACACAGTAACCGCTTAGATGTATAGGGGGGAACTGATTACTCAGTCTACAAGTCACTGATTCCTGGTGCTGCCACGTCTGAAGCTCCAAATTTTATCTCTTGAACACCCTTTGTGGCATTGGCCCTCGGGTGATGGGACAAGAAGAACAATGGAGTTCTTCACATGCCAGTTCCCTATAACAACAACAACAACCCTCCAATAACACTGCCTGATGTTTGGGTTCCGTATGCCGTCTTGCGATATCTCCGTACCACGACATAAAACAGTATTGTGCAATTATTTAAAAAAGGAGGACTTGTGGCACCTTAGAGACTAACAAGTTTATTTGAGCATAAGCTTTCGTGAGCTACAGCTCACTTAAAGCGTATGCTCAAATAAATTTGTTAGTCTCTAAGGTGCCACAAGTCCTCCTTTTCTTTTTGCGAATACAGACTAACACGGCTGCTACTCTGAAACCTGTGCAATTATTGTTATCCTTGAAGACTCCTTGTACCGAGTCCATGAACTCCACTATTAGTAGAGAAGAGGAATTCCCCTGCATTTGCCATGTTGGTTTCAAAATCTAGATTGGTGGAGTAACCCTGCAAACCTAATGTGGCAAAGGAAAATAGGAGGCTTCATATATTTGAGGCATAGCCCATACAGTATGGATTATCTGGTAAAACATGGCTCATATTGCAGACGGGATTAAGGACACCTAAGTAATCAGTTGAGTGAGTGGTGGTCAGACAAGGTCAAGCTGCCAAAGACCTGCATTAACAAGCACTCAAGTTTTCAAAACATTCTGCAAGAGATGTGTAATTTTGCCGATTTTGGCCAGGTCCTCCTCCTCTTTTCTAATCTCTCCGCCTTCCCTTAGTCATGTGCGCGGCTCCCCCCTCCCCCCCCGTTCTCCTCCACACACACTAGTAGAACTCCCAAGGTACACAACAAATTATAGGAGTGAAAATACTAACTTCACCTAATATAATGAGAGAGACACCGAGTGGCACTTTTTTTCCATTCGATTCATGAAGAAGAAGAAGAAGAAGAAGAAGGAAAAAAAAAAAAAGACTTCAGGATTTAAGTAAGGGCCGAACAGAGCCAATAGTGTCTGACAGGAAACCATCACAATATTTTAAAATAGCCTAGGCAAACTGGTGATAACATTTTTTAATTGATAAACTGTTCCAGATGTTTTCTCCCTTGACTGAGAAGTGTCAGAATTGATGGATAACAAGTATGTAGAGATGAAGTGTTTTAAGGAGGTATGAGGAAACAGCTATATTTGGAAGTCACACTCTCAGTATATTTGTAAGTAGCAGATTAATAATTCCTAACCTTTATCTCTTCTGTGCACTCGTATTGAGATGGGCAGGAATAGGAATGTCAAATGCATTACTTAGTGCAAACAGACTTGAAAGTTAAGATGTTGTGGCACTAACTGCTGGTGTGTGGTTTAAAATGCCTGAGTAAACATGTTATGTAAGGATGGATAACTAATTGTATCATGTGTCATTTTTCATCATCTCAAGTCAAAAATATGTACACAATAATGTAAATACAACTATCTAGCTAAATACTAGCTTTGTGTTATAGAAAAAAGAGTCAAAGCCAGGCTCATTCCAAAAATATGTAACCGTAGCCAACGCTCGCCATGCAAAGCAGTAATAAAAATGTCCTATATATAATTACGTATGTCCTACACTTTAAACTTATGATTACAAGTCATTGGCGAGTTGCCTGTGTTATGAGAATAGCGCGGTTTAGGTATTAACATGCCAGCCGTTATCTTGGTTTACTACTTAACATAAAGATGATCGTTTACAGACGTAGTTAGCAATTGTTAAACTTGTATGGAAATGCAAAATTATGCGTCTTAACTTGGAAATTGCATTGGGGGTTTCTAACTCCAGATGTAGAGTGAATATTATAAAGTGTCCATAGACAAGGTAATAGGAAGTCAATAAATAAAAATTGTAACAATGTGCAAATATACTTTCATTTGTTGTTTTATTTTTAAAATGTCTTTCTGTTATTGAGCGAGTACTATTTATGACTATTGAATTCTGTGATGACCTTATAGGAAGATATTTATTGTTATGTTTTTCTTTCCCAAAACTGACGCCCTGTTTCCACTATCTTTTTCCAGGATTTTTTTTTTAACTCACAATACTGCTCTTTAAAAAATTAAGTAGAGGCTTTCTCCTGTGCTGAAGCTCTAAGCTTTACTAAATCTATAAGGCCTCAGTGCATAAAGCTAGAAACCCTAGACTATACTTTCATCACTAACAATGTAAATCCTACAGGCAATGTATTTTCTTTCTTCTAATGAGTATAAAAATTGGAGAGTACTTTTATATGTATTTAAGGACTTTTGTTAAAATCGAGGTATGGTGGTTAGATTGCACAATTCCGTAAGTGGAAAGAGAGAGAGAGAAAGAAAGAGGGAGATCATTCCCTTTTCTGGGTTAAATACTGTTTCATTCTTAATGTAACGATTTATCATATTACTGAAGCAGCCATTAACAAAATAACTGTTGACATTTAAATATGTGGCGTGGGATTCCTCCAAGAATCCTTTCTAAGATTTGGTATAAAGATATAATACTCCTAGAACTAGCCAAAATGTGTAATCTTAGGAAGTAAGACTGTAGTGTCGCTTAACTACTATTTCTCAAGTAGAAAGACCAGTTATCTGTGCTGTCAACAAGTGTCGGAAACCTAAAGAGTTGCCCAGCTCTGCTTCCCATGATGTGTTCTGTATGCAGAACTCGTCCCCTCGCATTGTCCTCCTTTCAGTTTGAGAAAAGGCCCTTGAAATGCTCGTACATGGGAAAGATTTGTGTGTGCTATAAATAAACAGGAGTCAAAATGATTGGGGGGGGGGGGGGGAATCCTAGCGAAGCATCAGAGCTGAATCTGAGCATTAAGTTTCATCAATAAAAACTTGCTCCCACAAAGGATGCTACTCGAGGGAGACTGAAGCAGCCCCATGCTTCCCTTCTTCCTTCAGGAATGACCTTCAGGCAGGAGATGGAGACTTCAGTAGGATTTCACAAACCAAGACAAAAGTGCAGCCCCGCTCTTTATTCAAAACTCGAGACAGTGACCTGGCGTTGGGTGGCGGGGGGGGGGGGGGGGAGAGGGAGGGTGGATGGTGCAGGCTCAGGACCTGTCTCCCCCACCCTATTTCCCCGGGCTTTTTGTGTGGCCGGAGCACGGAAGTTAGGGGAAGCCCCAGCCCGTCTTTGTTGCTGCGAAGAGTTGCGAGCTGCACTTTAAGTCACCCCGAGATTGAACAAAGCACCGGGCGCGCGAGCGGCCAATCAGGCGACTTGTTCCGAAGGCAGCCGCGGCTTGCCAGCGCTACGTGCGGCTGGCGGGGCTCCGGGGAGAGCGCGGGCGCGGGCGCGGCTGCTTGGGGTGGGGGGAGGCAAGGTCCGGGCGAGCGGCGGAGCTAGCCAAGGAAGCAGACGGGTTTCGGAGTGCAGAGGCTTCCGGCGGCCGAGCGGCGCTGTCGGCCTCCCCGGGGCGAAGGGCAGAGCGCGGGGAGGAGGAAGCAGGGAGCGGGCACCCCGGGCGCGAGCGGCAGCGCGGCTGGAGCTGCTTCCCCTTGGACTGGCTCCTCCTTCGGCTACCGCCGCTCGTTGCCGCTAAGCGCCAGCGAGGAGCCCGGGCTGGGCCGGGAGGTTGCCTGGCCAGCCGGCCCTGCCCTGCGCTCTGCGTGAAACGCAGCTAGCAAACAAAATGCGGGGAGCCAGCGCCGGGCATTGCTCGCTCGCGAGGCGCATGGCGGGGGGAGGCTTTTAGCGGAGAAGGGGGCGCCCCCAGGCTGGAGCCTGCGTAGCTTCCTCCAGCCCCTCCCCCCTTCCTACACATACCCCGAGATAAAGCTTTTCAGTCTGAAGCAGGACCCGTCATCGCTGACGTCAGCGAGCAGGCTGTGGCCAATGAGAGCACGCGGTGATTGTTTCGCTCTCTGGGCTGGCGCCGGGTCCATGAATTTCTATTCAGCAGCCTCCCAGCGTCCTGCTGCTGCCTCTCAAGCGTATAGGATTCCACGTAGGCATTAAGAGGGAGGAGAGGGGATGGGGGGGGGGGGGGGAAGAGAGCAGGAAAACAAAAAAACAAAAACAAAAACCAAACCAGCCCCGGCCCCCTTCCTCCTCCTCAAAAAAAAAAAAAAAAAAAACTTTGGAGAAAAAAAAAAGTTTCGCCTCTCTCTGTCTCTGTCTCTCTCCTCCCCGCTGTCAGGTGACTTTTTAGAATTAGAAGCTAATGAGCGTGGATGCTTTGGGGAGCCCAGTGATGGACCCTGCTGCACTCTCCAAACGGAACACGGCGCTGAGATTAGTAGACTTGGCAGGGGCTCATCACCACCATCATCATCTCCACCCCCCTCAGAGCATGACAGGCTTCCCGGGCTTCGCCGGGCATCCCCACTCAGTGGTTCCCACGCACCCTGGGGAGTACGCCGCGGAATCCCGCCTAGGGCCGAGTCCATTCCGGCCTGAACACATGGGGCATCACCACCACCACCATCATCATCATCCTCCTCATCACCCTGCGGCCCTTAAACTCAGCCCTGCCCCTCATCCTCATCCTCACCACCACCACCACCACCACCACCACCATATGGCAGGCCAAGCTGAGGTGGTCTCTAGTCAAACAGGAACGTTTGGCCCGGCGCAGGCAACAGCAGTCCCTTACCCAGTGTCTCGCACAGCCCAGGCTATTCCAGCAGGTAGGGACTTCTTAATACGCAGAGATCTGACAGCTCCAGTCATGCCAGGGCTAACTGAGCAACACACTGCTGCAAGTTCTCACCACGGAATGTTTGTCTCAACAACAGGTAGCTACCCCGGACACCATGGTCACCATCACTCAGAAGCTGGGAATCATTCTCTGTTCTCTGGACTCCATGAGCAGCCTCCCCATGCAACTCCAGGTGGCCATCTAAACGGACAGATAAGACTGGGGTTACCTGGAGAAATGTACGCCAGGTCTGAACATTTCACTCAAGTACCAGCCTCCAGGACCGATCCTTTTGCTGCTTCCTCGCTTCATAGCTACGGTGGCATGAATCTGAACGTGAATCTGGCTCCACACCACGGCCCTGGTGCTTTCTTTCGTTACATGAGGCAGCCCATCAAACAGGAACTCATCTGTAAATGGATTGAGTTGAACCAGACTCCCAAAAAATTATGCTCGAAAACTTTCACCACAATGCACGAGCTGGTGACTCATGTCACAGTGGAGCATGTTGGAGGACCCGAGCAATCCAATCACATATGTTTCTGGGAAGAGTGTCCAAGAGAGGGGAAACCTTTCAAAGCCAAATATAAACTTGTAAATCACATCAGAGTCCACACAGGTGAAAAACCCTTCCCCTGCCCTTTCCCAGGCTGTGGGAAAGTGTTTGCTAGATCAGAAAATCTCAAAATACACAAAAGAACTCACACAGGTCAGTATTGAAAGCTATCATTAATTTCTTTATTTTGTTCAGCGTCCTCTTTAAGTAGTGTTTCGTTATGGAGAATGAATGCACACCAAATAATTATTTTAATTACATTCTTAGATTTGTTTGCTTTTTTCTCCATTTGCAAAAATGAATAAATCTCAGAATTTATGTATAGAAATTCTAAAGCTTATATAGACTGATACAATGTTTGTTCATCTATATCTTTATAAATACTGAGAGATATGAATACTCCACGTCTATTAACACAGGCTGGGAATTTTTTTTCTCTGGCAGTTTAAAGTAGTTGGGGGCAATGAAATAATTGTGCAAGCTCACAAATTAAAAGTGAACAATAGAAATTACAGCTTGTCTAGTCAGTTTTGACTGATGTCGGTGAGATGCTGCTGCCTCTAACATTGTGAGAATAACACAGCTGCAACCTTTTCGTTCAACAGTTTTGTTTTGGTCAGAGGGAGTTTTTAATGTTTGATCTGAGTAACAGTGACATTTGTAATGACCATTACCATCTAACGTCTCTGTGTATTTGCAAATGTGGGGAGCTGTACATTTTTATTCTAGAGAGGAAAAATAGCATTATTTCGGCCTGTACATTTTGAAATGTCATTCGCAGAACTGTTAAGTGAAATTAGGACATGTGTCAGAAACATCTGTTAGTCCTAGTTCACAGAAAGGAAAGTAACTTGATGGAAGATTTTGCAAAGCGACGTTTGAACTCTTCCGGCCAGAAAGGCATCTATAATTAATGAAATTGCACGTAGAAAGTTTTCACACTTACAGAAGCAGCCTGTGAAGTTGTATTAATTAGTTTAGCAGCCGGTGTTTGTAGTCTCTGGCGCTGGCTTTTTTCTGAAGAAGAAGATAAGAAATAAGCCCTTTTCGGAAAATTAAATCTGTTCCAGTATAGGGTTTTCCATCTTCCACCGCCTCCTGTACAGCCTTATGCACTGGTAGGGAAACTACATAATCCTATTGTAAGATCTGTTTACAGCCAAACGATTTTTTTCGCCCTCCAGTTCATAAAACTCCCCCTCCCCCACGGTCGGTATTTGCCTTGACCCTGGTGCCGTTGCATTTTTGTGCTATAGCTCAACAAGGTACAATATGCGTGAGAAATATACTAATTTTGTATCAATGTATTCTAAATATAGCGCAGTAATTTTACAGTAGCCATCACTAGTAACATAGTATTTTTCCACCGCTCATTTTAAATCTATATTCCAACGTTTTATTAGTCTAATAGTCTTTCGATAATTTATTTTTTTAAGTAAAGAAGACCCCACATAATATAAATAATACCCTGAGCCATCTTCTTGTTAGTTCAGAACAGGTAGAACCATTAAATGGGATAGCTCATCCCTTAATGACAGTGTTTTTCTTAAGTAAACAAACTTTTACTGCTCTTTAACGGCCTCACTGTTTGAAGTCTGTGAAGCAGAAAATGGTTAAATTCTTAGGGAAATTGACCTACATCAGAGAAGCAGGTTCAGGGTATCCTAGGTTCAGGGAATCGTAGATTTGGGTTTATTAAACGTAATTTCGTACGTACATACTTTTCACTTTAACTTTCCCAATGGCTAATTGCTGCATTCTGAAAAATCCTGCAGGGCCTTTACGATTCAGTCGTTTCTATTCAACACCCAGAAGTTGTCAAAAACAAAATGTTTCTGAAACCGTAATAGAACTTTGTACAAATTATTCATGAAGACAGTTCTGAATTCAACAGGAAAATAATTGCCTTCTCAAATATTAATGACTGCATTTCCCTGAGTCTGGGAAACTGGGTGGATTTCTTGCGATTTGGGGATTTTCACGATTAAATTATATTTATTATCTAATTTATAATAACAGGGAACAGGTAGAGATGGGAGGAATTCATTTTCCTGTCCTTTAAGCTGGCCAGGAACACTAGTGAAAAGTGGGAGGTTGGAAACTCTATTCCCAGCGGCACACATGCATTTTAACTTTTAATTGATAGAGCTACTAGTCACAATTTTATGCTACTCCCCTCCCCCGTGAGGATTTTGTAAATACCTTAACCCACTCTCAGAGTTGGGGGATTATATCAAAATCTCCAAGAAGCTGAATGTCACTGAACAGTTTTGCACAGCTACAAGTGTGATTTTAAAATGGCGGTCTAGACTCTTGGCTTCTCGATAGCCTTTAGAACTTTTTACATGTAGCCTTCCAAATGCAGGACGTTTAAAAATGGCCTTTTCCTGAAGTATAAATGTTTACACACAGAAAAAATCTTCTCTTTAGAAAGGAACACTTAAAAATATTTGCATTGCTGCTAGTTACTGAGGCATTCAAAGAATGCAAACCAGACAGATGAGAAAACGTTGCCCTTTTTAATCTCTGAGTTGATGATACCTGATTGTATGAAAAGGCTTTTTAATTACTATATCAGAGAGGTTAAGCGAAGTTAAACATTTTTCAACACTTGAAAAATGAGGAAGCAGCCCAATTTTACCTGAATGTAACTCACTTTGCACATTCACGATGTTTATGAGGATGGCTTTCCCTGGGGTCTCCTAACTTACTGCTTGCTTGTACTACACTAATATCCTTGATTTGTTGTCGCAGCTCAAGATGCTGAAGGTCAAACTGTTTCCTTACGTGAAACTGTAGTTGGAATATATACATATATGTAGAGCGAGAAAATATTTTGTTGCAGCGCCTGAGTTGCACCATTTCGTCAGTGATCATGTTTTTTAGAACTTGTATGTAATTATGCCAGATATTTACTAGTTTGCAATTCAAATATTAGTGCTAACGTATGTGAGAGATCGTCCTTGATTATTGCTTTTAAAGTCACTGAGACTTACTTTAAATATGGAGCTTTCCTACGCCCACTCTTATAAAGTGCAATTGCATTAAATATTTACAATGCTGATATTTAATGTATTAAAGGCCGATTTTGTGTCAAAAATGGAATATAATAAAGGTTGCGTCACTCATAAATTAGTAATTCCAACGTGCAAAAATATTGATACATGCTAAATCCTCTTGACCAAGTACGCCATGATGGTGTGCACAGTGGCTTTGTTTGAGCATCCAATCCAAATAAATTCAGAGTTATATTTTGGGGCTTCTTTTGCAAGCTAATATAATTTACTGTTATTTTTTTCAAAAACCTACCAATATTCCCATACCTCTGATAATAGAAAGTTCGTGCTCCTTTTGCGTACATGTTTTGCAGTTGTGTATTATCAAGTAGAATAATCTGTGGGGAAGTAATATAATTTAATGCTGAAACTGTCTTTGGCGCATTTCCTTGAAAGCACGCCTCATATATCATACACTGTACTTTGTATAGAAAACCTTAAGTTAACCTCTGGCACTACTCAACCAGTAAGATTGTTTTTCTAAACACGTATATGTTTCTGATATTGCCATCAGATTTAATCCTGATTTAAATTCCCTCCATTATTGCATATGTTTGTACCGTGAAAGAGTTTTACCCTAACAACAGCAACTGGCACTGGCCTAGTCACTTTAACATTGAAGCTACATCATATTGGCTCTCACAGTCAGCCTGCTTTTAAGACGGCTCTGTTCTTTAAACCTGGCAAGATAACATGCGGTAAAAAAAAAAAATCAATCTACAGTCATAAACGCTACCTATGATCGTAGTCAATATAAAAATATACTGTAGCAGCTGGGATTTAGTAAGGCCATGAGCAAAATATCAACATGCACCTCTGGGAGTGTGAGAAATGAACTTCATGTAATTTCTGGCCACTCCCGTGCCCAACACTGAATTGTGACAGACAGAGCACACATTGTTTACATGTAGCCTGCAACTGCACTTGGGCTGTACCTTCCCCGACTTCTTTGTGGTTTGCACAAATCCCACTTTAACAAACAATTTAGACTAAGGGGAAAGGAGAACTGTGAATTGGTGTTTCAGTGAAAATGGTGTGTGTGTGTGCGTGCGAAAAAGAATGGAATCTTGAAAAAATAATGTAAGGTTCAGGTTTAAAAATATTTGCACCTATGCTAAATTCTATTCGAATATAGTCCTCAGATCGTTTTTTAAAGCACACCTCTTTATCTGTCTGTACAATGAAATGGGAGATTAGTGTAGAGGGGCTATTTGGAAGGTTTAAATCACAGGAGCATGCTGAGGGATTTCATGTTTTAAAACCCTAAGGAACCCCCTTTCTCCTCCCCCAACACTACCACCCATTTTACTAATGTATGTACTCGTTAATTGCATTCTTTCAGGAGAAAAACCATTCAAATGTGAATTCGAAGGCTGTGACAGACGATTTGCCAACAGCAGTGACAGGAAGAAGCACTCTCACGTGCACACCAGTGACAAACCCTACAACTGCAAAGTGAGAGGCTGCGACAAGTCCTACACCCACCCCAGTTCCTTGAGGAAACACATGAAAGTGCACTGCAAATCCCCTCCTCCGAGTTCAGGCTACGAGTCCTCCACACCTTCCCTGGTGTCTCCCTCCTCGGACTCCGGCCGGGACCCTCCTGCTTCCTGTTCTCACGCAGAGCCAGTAGCATCGTCGCAAACTGCAGCTAACCTGAGCGAATGGTACGTGTGTCAGAGCTCGGGGGGCAGTGGCATCCCAACTCCTCCCAGTAACTCTCCGTCACCTAACCCAGGAGAGGCTTCTTACACGAACTGTGAGCCCAGGCCCAGTTATTAGAAATAAAACAATAAACAGATCGCTCACACGGTCTGCAGTCTGGATCTCATCGAATGGTCTCCTCTTGTTACTCTGCTACCTTTGCGATGCAGAAACACTGTACCAAGACAAGACTGCCACAGTAGAGGGAACAATCTTATGCGAGGGGATCATAGATAATGTGCGCACCACACATGGGGAATAAAAAGAGATAGAGGCGCTGTCCTGGCACATGGCCTCTGAAGAGAAGATACCTTGTAAAATAAATTAAACAGGTCTTTGTTACAAACTGTATTTATGGTACTAAGCACACGCGAAGGCAACTTCAGTTCGTCCTCATTACTTTTTGCATCCTTTTACACACTCCTCTGGTCGTCTGGTTCTAATATATTTACAAACTCATCGATTTTCAACATCTTGTGTATTAACGAACCAAAGTGTTTTAATTCGGATTTCTAGCTGTACAGGTTTTATTGTCGATGGTATCTTGTGATAGAGGTTTACTGACAGTTTTGTTAGCCCCCTATTCTCTCTCTCTCTCTCTGTGTAAACACACACACCACTATTATTTGTTACCGAATTGTATGAAATCGATCAATTCAATTCTTTGATTAAGTAACCAATTCAGCGGACTTTTCTGTAAAGAATCTCAATACTTTTTCCTGGTGCAGGAAAATATTCCCACTCCCAGTTGTCACTAATTATAATAATAATAATAAAATGGGCCAAGGGTGGCTTAATGATTAATTGTCCATTTTAGTTTACACTAGACATGACTTTTAATACATAAACATATTTCCCTCTCTCCCCACCCCTTGAAAGTGTCATTCCTGTTGAATTGTGGGGTTTTGTGTTTTCAAAATCCGTGTTCTTGCGCGGGGGGTGGGGGTGAACTGTTATGGGTGACGTCATTGTGCTGAATCCAGAGGAGCTGGGACTGTCCAAAAGGACTTGTGAGTTGTCAATTTCTCTGAATGAATCATGTAAAATCAGTGCTGGTCTTGTCTAGAACGCACAACATTTGTCTTGTAATAATCATCATCATCATAATAAATTTTGTAAAAACAAAATAAAATGGTTTTAGAATGTTCATCGTATCTAAGAACCTAAAACTATAATCTCCCCGAACCTACATGAGTCACTCCTAGGGATAAAAACAACACTGATTTTTTTGGCACAAAGTAACTTGAAACTGCCTACAGGTACAATTTTAATTCATTCATTCATTATGTTTAAAAATACCCCATAGCTTAGGCAAATAAACAATACGATTTCCCGAAAGTGGTTTCTATGACGTACTCAATGCAGACAGAGTGGCGGATCTAATCATTCTTTTTCAAATTTTGCGCAAACCCCCCTACGAGCTGTTGAGTCAGGTAACGGGTTAGTGTTACGTGGCCCCACGGAGAAAAAAAAATCTGGACAGTTCTGAAAGGGATCATCAACCTAATCATCATCCTTCTGGGGCGTCTTTATTTTCTTCCAAAGCCACTAACGTCTACGTATTTGAACCTACACAACTTTGTTCGGATGCTGCTTGTTAATTTAGCAAGCATTGCAAACAATGGAAACACGATACGTGAATACGTATACACATATACCTAATGATTTAGGTAGGCAAATTAAAAAATAAACTATTGTAGTTATCAACAATATAAACTATAAAACGATTGTTCCCAACTGACTATTCAAATCATGAAACGTATACCGTGGAAATTAAAAGGTATGGAAGCCATCTGCGAAAGGAGAGGGTGTTTCCATCTTGTCTTGAGATCTGTTTATTTCTTTATTTCTTTATTTACATAAGTGTTTGGATGTGAAGGCTAATCACCTTTAATTTTTCATTTGCTTGTTACAGATGTCTACCCCGTTGCTCTCAAGGTAATCTAGACAGACGCAGCTGAAAGCCTGAATCTTATGCCTTAGACATCAAAGAAAGCTCGCACAAAGAAGTATTTCTTCGCAAGGGTGAATCTTCATGGTAAGTTAGGATTTCTATGGCAATAGGCAAGTCATACTTAAATAGTGAAAGGCAAAGTCTGGAGCCCGTCCAGACTTTTCATTAAGGACATAATATTTACGTCTAACAGGCCCTTTTTCTTGTGTATACAAGTATATATTTTTGTTTGACGCGAACTAAATCATTTTCATTTAATTTCCGGTAAACAAAACCCACGCGAATGGGCACTTGTTCCAGATCATAATAAAAATGGATAAGAATGTCAGGAAGAAAAGGCCCGCTTGAACCGTCGCGTCAGCTCACTTTTGTTTCTGCTTTCTGCCTTGGTCAGAGAATGCGTTTGGGATTTGATGGCGAGTTTCTAAAGGCAAGGAAATGGTTTTTAAGGGGGAAAAGAAAAGGAGAAAGGTCTAATCAAGCTCGGGTTGTTCAAAGGGTCTGATTTTGGGGTTGAAAGTGTGAGTTTTATGGTGCATCAACATGCCACGTTAGGATCGCTATGGTAATGAGGAGAGCAATAGCAAGCGGCCTTCAAAGGAGGCACACTCCATTTGAGACAGTCTATTAAGATACATTTGCACTGACCTTTGGTTTCATGCTAGCTTAATACAGTCAATCTGCTCTTCGTCAGAAATATACTTCCTCCGCCTAATACACTTTAACAGACTGTTTTTGTTTGCTTTCACCCTAAGGTGGGGTTTGGTATGGCATTTTTGCACTGAAGTTATTATACCAAAAGGAGGGACTGCCAATAAAGGGCATGTACATATTCTGGGTTAGTGCTAACTCTCTTCAGAACATGAGCATTTTTAACCAGCTGACATATTTTTTTTCAGAATCCAAACGATCAAACATCCCCATTCAAAAATGTCTCTAGTGTAAAAAAAATGCATTGTGTGTCCTCCTTCCCCACCCTTCTCCAGTCCCCAGACAGTGAAGTTAGGATGGGGAAGTAAAGGGACACTTGGGGTTTCTTAGTCTAATGGTGTAAGGTGTATCTAGGAAGGTAAATAAGAACCTTTGGATCATCTCAATATTCCCTGAAAAATAAATAGGGAAAAGGCCTGACTAGAAGCTGTTGTGGAGGAAGTCCCAGCCCAAGGGGACACGGATAGTGGCAGGTTTGGAAAGTGGTAAGTGCTTGAAGGGATGAAGAACTTGACATCCGCATGGCTGAGGCCATGGCCGATGGGTTATGGTCCCGGGAAAGTTAGAAGTCCTGTTCCAGTAATTGTCTTGTTGTTTATTTTATCCAAGTACCCTAGTGAATAGGGGAAAAATAAACACGACGAAAAAATTCAAACAGTTGAGTCGTCTTTAGTGCCAGCCCTTGTGGTTGAATAAAAAGGATGGTCCAATTTCTATTGAGCTGAGAAATCTTTGAAGTGGGAGTTATTATCTGAGAAATTCCTGCTTGTCGTCCTAACAACGCTGATGAAACGTAAAAGGTTCTTTGTCAGCGATTTGTTCTCCTTTCTGTCAAACTCACCCTGCCCGTTAGCTTTAAACCGTTTCTAAAGAGATAGAATCGAACTTTTAAAGATAACTCTAGGAGCAGGGAGGATACAGAAAATGGCAAACTATATCATCATATGTATATGCATACAGACGTATGTATGTGTATGTGTCTATGTGTATCTCTATCTGTGTATAGATATAGAGAGATATATATATCGGTGTATGTATGTCCTGACTGCTCTATAGTTCTCAGTTTTAAACGATGTCCATTTCTGCATTTTATCTCCTGAACTTTTCTGTCCAATAAATTATTCCTACACATTTGCTGCACGGAATGCAATTCTTGTGAAAAAGCAGAAATGCAGTGTTTCATTAACACTAGTATGTAAGCAGCAAGCGTTTTCTTTCCAGTAAAATGAATGCAACAGCATACACTTAGGAGTAAAGGCTTTGATAATTTTAACATTCGGGATACCTATTAAGCATGTATATACTGCAATGTACCGAAATTGTTACGCATTAAAACCGATGGCTTCCATATGTTTCCATGTTTTATTGTCAGTAAGTGTAAAGACAGTCAAACTGCATCTCTTTGTATCTTCATTTTATAAACATTACAGTGTGCGATTATATAATGACCTGATCAAGGTTTATTTAGGAGTTTTAAATTTTCAGATCATTAAATACTTTTTTTTTTGTAAAAAGAATCCCCTGAAGTTGTAAGTCATCAGTGTACTTTTATTTTAGCTGCTACAGAATGCTGTGAGCCCAATCCTGTAATTCTAATAATTCCCACTGATTTCAATGGGAGTTTGCCTAAGTAAAGACTGAGTAAAACTGCAGTGAAGATCCTCTCTTTTATATGTTTAAGGGAAAATATAATGATCACAAATGTATCGTAAAATGTAACTCGTCAAAACAATTAAAATGTTGGAATATTATATATCTTTCCAGACTCTTTATCATCTATGTTTGCCTTTCAGCACACGTTTAGTGCTGAAGTAATTTTGTTTTATGTGTTTGAAAATATTATTTTAAATTTGTTAAGTAATTGAATTATTTTTACAATGTTTATAAAAGTATCAATTCTGTCATTTTTTTTACAAAGAACATTTTAAGTACATATTTGTATCAGTTATACTGCGTCATTTATAAAAGACACTATGTATACATCTTTTTTCCCTTCTATTATGAATTTGGGTTAAATAGTAATTGCAGACATCCTACTAAATTAGTATATAATCGATCAGCGACGCCTAGTTTCTGTTGGTTTCTAATATAGCTTCATGCTAATTATTTTAGTTTTAATGGAAATTATACTGGTTAGTTTTTATAAAAACTCTTTGACTAGACTCTCAAGATAGTATTCTTTACACCTGAAACTTCAAGACTAGCTATAATAAATTGTACTTTAAATATTGACAGAGGGTCAGAGGGAAAATTCAAAAACTTGTGTCATTGAGTTCCTTATAATTAAACTCCTCTTCTTTTCTTTATCTCCGCTGATTATCATTACAACTGCACATAGACTCCTTCAAAATGATTTCTTAATTTTGGATTTCATTAATATGCTTGAAAATAACAAATAGTTACTAATTAGGGCCCTACCACAAAAAATGCTGTTTCTAACTATCAATGATGAATGCATTCTTTTATTCAGAGAAATCCCTGCACAACATGGAATCATTGTTACACATGCACTTTTTATAAGCTTCCTCAAGAGTACGTGGATCACTTTTTACTGAGTTGAAATTAGTTAATCATTTAAAGTAATGTAAAGGTAAGTTGTTTTGATATGCATATCCCATAAACTGCATTTCGTACGTTGCAGAGTTTAGCACCTCTTGAGGATTCTCGGAGTTTTTTAAACTTGACATTTTAAATCCTATTCTTCCAGTTATGAATGATGCATCACTCCTATGCGCATACTGTAGCTGTCCTCGTGCCGCTTATTGAGTGTTGCGCATGCGCATTGGCTTATCTTTTAACCAAAACTTTAAAGTTGCCTAACACAGAGATGACAAACAGTTGGCTTTTTGTGGTATGAATGTTGCCAATAAAGAATACCTTTGAATATGAAGAAAGAAAGAAAGAAAGAAAGAAAGAAAGAAAGAAAGAAAGAAAGAAAGAAAGAAAGAAAGAAAGAAAGAAAGAAAGAAAGAAAAAGAAAATTTACTGATTTTAAAAGATGACAAAATTGGCACAAAAAGAAAAAAGAGGGCTAACAGTACATGCTAATTAAAGTATACAATTCTGTGGGCTATAATGATTGGGGGAAGACATGTAGTTATTACACTTGACTGTAGTCAACAAGGGATGGAATGTCCCCTTAGACAACATGGTGAGAGACGTGTGGGCATTATTAGTGGTCCTTTTATAGACATTGCCTTTTCTTTCTCAGTGCTGACAAACCATTTTGGAGGGATTCATCCCCTGTTGCTTCCTATCATCGATCCCCATGCAAGCTCCTGCATTGTGCAAGTGCATTAATTAAAGACCATTCATTTAACAAAAGAACGTTTGTATGTCGAGGAAATGAAGATTAGAAATATGAATCAGTAAACTAAATAAACTAAGACCACAGTTTCCACGCCTATATCACTTAGATGAAGGGACATGAAAACTAGGCTCTGCATACTGTTAAATACACTTCATTTAACCCCACGGAGCTGTCCATAAATATTGGTTTGCTGATTATTTTGCTTCTTTGGAACATCGCACTTAAATGTATTACAATTAAAAAGATGGTTTTTAAGTGTATGTATAACTGTTAGGTTTACGCATCAAATTACTTAACCCTCAGCTCACAGGTATCCAGTCAAGCATTTAAATGAAGTCTTTATGCCTGCCTCTTACGTGTCTATCGTTTCTCATTGCTGCTAGCCTATGAAGAATAGTTTAGATATGTCAGTACTTTCCCTACTGACACAGGATCATCTTTGGACAGCATTTTGTAAAGCGATCGCTGTTGCATGATTGTCCACTACATTATACAGAAGTAGGTGTCTGAAACATATCAAATCTATATGCATTACACATACGTTATTCTTTGAACGTATGTCAGTGCAGCAAATGCTATGAATACCACATGGCCGGAAGCCCACTTTCACTCTAATCCGTTCTCGTTATATTTTGCAAGCTGAAAAAAAATCAACATGGTTCAGCAAAACGCGTGGTAGGCTGCGAAGCGGATCACGACAGAAGTCTGAAGTGTTGTGAGAACATAAAATAAAAATTATGAGAAATCTATTATTATGCTGCTGTGGGAAGGGAGTCGGGTTCCCAATATCTCCCACATGACTTGTGAAGAGGCACCAGCTTTACTGAACCTCTGGGCCATAAGTTGGTTTATTTGCACCCTACAACTTTTTTAGGATGTTGCACGCTGAATAGTATACCTGGGGTACAAATTAAAGTGCATTAAAATAAATGAACAAGAAAGAAGACTATATGTTTCTAAAGTCTAAACATATTTAAAGACCCAACAAAAGCACATTGTTCTCATGATGATAATGGGGCCTGTTAACCAATTAAAGCTTTTAGTCAAAAGTCCCAGTTTCTATAGTTGAATGAAACTTTAGTAGTTTTTTCTTGTGGATGGTTTAAAAGCTTTGCGGAATTAAACTAGAAAGACAATATTCACAGTGATAACAACACGTTACCTAAGGAGTGTATGCATTATGGCAACAGTTTATGGAAACAGTTTTGGTGCATGACTGAATTGTTTCAATCTCTTAGACGCTTAAAGCTAAATCTTTGTCAGCAAGTGATCTTGCACCTCTTGTTTGTATTAGCCAGCAATATTTATCTACTGTAAATTTGGAGTAAGCTATTGGAAAAGTAAATATTAGCTTCAGACAGGTTTTACTTTAATTGGGACAATCCTCATTACTTGTATTAAAATACATTTCTAGTGTATTTCCTCTTTTTATGAAGCAACATTTTTAGTAAAAATGTACCAACTTCAGGTTATTTTAATGCAACTATTACCAACAAGATTATGCCGTTATTAAGTCACATTATTGTTTTGGACCATTTTATTTCTAATGTGCACTGTACATTGACTCTAAAAGTTATAATTATGGAGTATGGGCTTAGCAAAGCTAAAAAAAGTGCGATCAGTCTAGTAACATATAAAAACTGAATCCATCATATATGCTTCGCTAGGTAAACATTTGTTTCTAAAATAAGCCATGTAAGAATTTAGCACAATCTCTAAACAACAATTTCCGTGTATGTAGTAATTAGTGGTTAACAACACATCCTGATTATATTCCAACATTCCACTGACGTTTGACTGCCTTTCTAGGTGCCAGTCCTTATAAAATGACAACCTATAGATCCGATTTTATATACCTGACAGCTCTGACAGGTTAAAAACAATGTTTGTGAAAGTCAAAATACTTTACAACTTTTGATCAGTCATACAGTTTCAGTATTTGTTTGAACTATATGTTTCTATGTTCACTATAAAGGCATTAGAGAAGAAATGAAAACTCTCTGTATTAAAACATCTAGCTTCTTAACGTGTTTTTTGTTAGCTTTTATCACAAATGTTGCTTTTTGTTAATTTTTTAAAGATAGAGTGACCCACTTGAATTGTGTTATATCATGTAATTATGGGAAGGCTTGAGTACTGAAGTGTTAAATAAAATGGTTAAATCTGGAGTTTCACAAAGGAAATTTTTGTTCTCTACATCTGAGGCTGTTTCAGTCTTTTTCAAATAGTTGGTAAAATTGAGGCTCACTAGCAAAAATTGCTGAAAAAACATTAGGTACGAAAAGAACCAAGAGTCAGTTGATTTTTATTGTCCAAAAAACAGGACAACTTAAAAAAAATGTTGTAGAAATACAGAGACTCCTTTAAGTGTGAAATATCATTTCATTGTAAATAGTCAAAAAAGAGTCGATAATCCAACTTCCGGAAACTGTTCTGAATTATTTCAGCAGACTCTTTTAAAAGGGGATTAGCAGGGCTTTGGGGGCAAAATCCTTCTGTTTTATTCAATCTCTGATTTTATGTTATAATTACTAGATGTAAAGACTCTTGAATTAGTATGCAGCAGTCGTCCAGACATTATGCAGGTGCTATTTTAATCATTCAGCTTTTTAATTAAGGAACGAGGTAAGAAAACAGAATCATAAAAACACTTTTGTGAGAGCTGAGAAAATTGTGAGCGACTGCATGAATAAAGCCTTTATACCTTATCCTGACAGGTCAGACACCAATTGCCTGACTTACGACCTTTTCTTCATGAAACAATGGTTAACAGCTTTCTCACCTTGTTCCCATTATAGCCTTTATTCTTATATAGAATTTATGGAAATGCCCATAAAATGCTTATATTAAAGGGGGGCGGGGAAGGTATTGCAATTATTATTGATACGTACCCTATTAAACGATACTTTATCTCTGATAGTTCTGAAATGGGTGTTCAGCATATTTGTATACCAAAGGGTCACACTCATTCATGAAATTTTTGGCAGATCATAAGATTTTAATGTTTAAAATTAATACCTACAAGAAGAAAAACTTTGTGGAATAACAATCCAGCAAGGCTAACTGGCTGCTAGACTAAGAGGGAAATCCAAACCACCAATATGTATAACAACACTTGATGTCACAATAAAAACTTAGACCTTTGTGGTTTTTCGGGGTTTTCTTTTGTTTGTTTGTTTTTTTAATTTATTTTCTTCCCCCCTCCCCCTCCCTGGCACAGAGTTTGCTGCATCACGTGTATTAACATATGAATGAAACGAACAGCCAATGCATTTAAGGTAATACCTATGCACTGCTCTTGCCTGATTATCTTTTTATGGAAAGTTGCATTAACTAATGACATTTACATAAATATGAATAATTGTTAAGTTGGAGTGGAAGGATTCTTTTCTTAAGAGTCTGGATTTCAATCCAAATCCTTGCTAGCACCAACCTTCCTGA